GGGGTTTTCAACCTTTTTTTAATAAGTGTACCCCCGGCAGCCAGCACGGAGCGGGGAGGCATGTGAGGTGGTGGGTGGCGCTGTGTGCTCCTCCCCTTCCCCTCCCCCCCAGTCTGGCTGGCTGGGTAGCACCTGTGTGGCCCGCCGAGGGACGCTGCTGAACCTCGTGTTCCCCCACCCTCCCAGCCCTGCTCCTGGGAGGCGGTGGCATGAGGTGGTGGGTGGCGGTACTCCACCCCCACCCTCCCATGTGTACCCCCTAGAGCTTTCCCAACTACCCCCGGGGGTACGCGTGTCCCTGGTTGACATCTCCTGGCTTAGAGAAAGGTCTACTTTGCTTGCATTTAGCAAGGAGTATGGAACTGAGGCCAGTAGAAATCAAAAGTGTACAGACATTCAAGCTTTTGTTTCCTAGAGTTCCCAACCATGTTGGCTTCCCCTAGTCATCCACACCACTTACCTGGGTGGAAGGGGCAGCACTTTATAAGCTGGCAGGGCCAGGAGCTGGGCTTGGAGAGGCTTTCTCTGAGCCCAGTACCTGGCTCTGCCAGCTTTCCATTGCAGCCTGCACCACCTAGCTGAGTGGCAGGGGCAGCAAGTAGAAGCTTACATGGCTGGTAAGGTACAAGCAGCAAGGGTTGCAGATGGGTTGCAGGCAAGTTTCCTTCTAAGCTGCCTGCATGCACGGCCGTGCACAATAAAAAGTCTTTCTGCGCACAAATTTTTTAATGCCACACACTCGCCCAGAGAGGAGCTGGGCTGTGGCTTCCTGGAAACTTTGCATGCTGCTCACAGAACAAGTCTTGGAGCAGAGGCACTCGGGCCGGCACAGGACACTTACCAGTGGTAAGTTACCTCAGCTGCATGGGGAGCCACTTCTCTCAGCTCCACTCCTCACCGCACCAGCATCCCTGTGGGGAGGGAGGGCAGTGCAGGGCAGGCAGCGGCTCCTCCCTGAGGCGTGGACAGGGGCTGGAGCAGACTCGGGAACCACATGGCCTCCACCGGCTCTGAGGAACTGCTCTGCTCCCCAACCCCTTCAGGCGAGCTTCACCCCAAGCCCTGATGCCATGTGCCTCCTCGCTGCCTTGTCTACCCAGGGGCAGGACACCTGGGACCACTTTCAAAGGCTGCATCAAGGGAATGTAGAAGTATGTGCAGAGACTGTTGGGGTGCAGTTGAGCACGGGAGACTGCATGGTTACACCATTTATGTGACTGAGGAGCACTGGACTTTACAGTGGGGCTTTAAGGAGACCCTCGAAGAGTCAAGATGTGTGGAGATGGGAGTCACAGCAGGATTGGAGCAGAGGGCATTGGTGCAGTGTGCAAATTTAAGGCAAGGCTTCTGTGGCAAGCCTGCAAGTTCGGGAACAGATGTGACCCTGAATTTGCCAAGTATGCACTTGAGGCCTGTCCTTCCTCCAGGATTTCAGGGAGAGCTGGGCACCAAGGTAAACATTTTGCCGAAGGGGAAGAAAATTGGAAGTTTAACAAGACAGCTCATTTATCTTCCCATTGTTTCCAAATTCAAGATGATGGGCATGGGGTGGAAGATGGAAGGCCACCAGGTTGCCTTCACCTGTCTCTGGATATCCAGGGTGGGCACTGTAAAACACAACAGAAGACCCACCCACCCTTGCCCCACACAAAGATCAGGGGCCACCCGCTTGCCCTCACTTGGTTGTCTGGCACGCATCGGAGGGGCCTAGGCTCTTCCCGGGGACAACTTCCAGTTATTGGCCTACAGTTGAATCCAAGTGTAATAATTGTTTTTTAGTTTATTCCTTTAAGTTAAAGAAATAATCATATTTTGTTGTTATACTGTGTTATACTGTGGGGCGGACTAAAGTGGTGTGTGCCAAAAGGGGGAGGCAGGACTAATTCGGGAATGGACCAAAGCGACATGCTCATGGACCAAAGCAAAGCACTCACGGACCGCTACACTTTAGAGGGAACAGTGGTTGCAGACTGAAAGCCTGTACTGCCCCCTCCCTTAGAATTGTTTCTAACCGTGGAAAATGTCCACTGCTAGAAATAAACATTGGAACATGACTTGAAAAATGTTATTGTGAAATCACTTGGAAAGAGAGGCTGTTTCGCAAAAAAATAGCACAAAGAATACAGAATTTATGCTTTATGACATTAGATATCAGTATCATTTATAATTAACAAAGCTAGATTTTTTGTATGCTTTAATTATACTGAATTGAGGAAGAGTACAGGTAGCATATGGAGGAGGATGTAGGGTCTAGAAACATAATTTTATTTTTATGCTATGATGTCTAACAGTAATTTCTGGCCACTGATGAGCCTTTACCGATACCTTCAGGTAAATGATTGTATAAATTTAGCACCAAAGTATTTCTCCCCACTTTACAACTGTGCAATATTAGGTTAAGAAAAGAAGTGGAAGAAAAAGGAAACAAATCAAATGACCTTGCATTTTATTTTCAACACCCTGAATACTCAGTCTAAACATTAAAATATCATGACTAAGCTAGTATAGTTGAATAATTTATGTTCAGTTAACTTCCGCTGTACATTTAGAATCCAATTTTTTTTAAAGGTGTCTATTGGTACTATCAAAGTCTGAACTAATAAACAGGCTAAAATTTGCAAAGGTCCTAAAAAAAATGGCACAGTAGAAACCAAGGTGTAAAACTATTTTCTTTAAACACTTTTTCTGCCCTTTCACTATGGTCATTTTAAATACACACAACAAATAAAATTAAAGTAATTTATATAGTGACTCCCTAAACAGATCAGAAGGAAAACTGATTTTGTGGGCCAAATGTTCACATGCACCATAAGGTCACTTCTAATTTTTAACCAGCAAACAACTACAGGAACAAATGACAGAATTTAGATGTCTACTTTCTTTATTTTTAGGCTATTTTTGAAAATTTGGCCCCCTAGGTTCCTATAGAAAGTAGTCTCAAAATATAAACAGCTTTATAAACCCTTGTAGCTTTTAATTGGACTGCACTTTGCCAAGTGGAAATTCAAACTGAAGGTATATGAAGAATGAGACATGAAATATAATATTACCATTTTTGTGCTGTGTTCTTAAGGCAATGGAATTATAATTGGAGTGCATCCTAATTTTGCTCTAGAAATTCATACTAAACTTATTTTGTATGCTTTCTTAATTATAGCATTTCTAGGATGCCTTTAAAATTTAGTTTTGTCAAATTAATGGATTATAAATTTTAGTAATACACAACAGCTCAAAATAAAGGACTAAGGACAAGGTAGCTTCTATCATATTTCAGAGAGGTTTAACAGAAAATGTCCATCTACTATAACCATTCAAAGCTACTGCCACCATGGTGAGGAGACAACAGTTTAAGTAACCTTCCAAGTTACAGCAAAACCATTCTGTTTTATCTCAAGGCAGTGTTAATCATTTTAATTTTAGAAATGCAATAATTTGCTTTCTTGGGCTAGGTACAGACATTCAAAAAGCCCGAGGCAGAATAAATCTAAGTTACGTGTTTTTCTGTAGGTGGTATAGTTTATATTGGTAGCAAACATAACATATGGAGGAGGTCGGGGCAACTCTTAGACCAGGTTCCACCATTTTAAACCAGTCTGTGTTTGCTGAACTTCTGTTATAAGCATAAATCAGTTTTGTGCGCAGACCTTCCATTTTGTTGCAGGTGTAGATTGGTTTCCGATCATGTATACTGGTAAAAGAATAACGTCTGTACTTGACCCAGATGTTTAAGGACTTTATCTGAAACCTTAGTGTTTCTACTGCAGTAAGCAGTGTTTTAATACCGACAAACTACATTTCAGTAGAACTCTACACATGATCTTAGCCAAACGTTCACTTGTATCTATGAATACTACATAACTTCATCAACAGGAGACTACCAAGACTCTGAACTTTTCTTTATCTTTATTTATGCTTGAGCTTTCAGCATTGCACATCAGATGCCTGGTGTTTTAACCTATCTTTGAAGACAGATACTTGCATCAGACTGCAAGAATACAGTATTTCTCAACTGTCTTTGCACCAACAGATCAACAAGCACATTCAACAAACCTTCACTCGAGTCATTTTTCTTATCTAAAAGAGCTTTAAAAATTCCCATAAATCAATCCATTCAGCTAATGCTTCTGGTTTATAAAAGATTAACTGCAATCAGTTAAACTGGAAGTTTATAACACAGTTCTTGATTGTAAAGTGTTTCTGTGCACACATTACACCAGGCACACAACTTATTAAAAAAGTCTGAAATACAAAAATATGGTTATAACATAGGAGTACCAAAAAGCATAGAATTAGAACAATTCTATTTTCGTAATGCCAATTTATATACACCCTCCCCCAAAATAAGAAACTTTTACATTCTACGTACTTTCCCCAAACTGGCAACTTTAGCACACATTCTAAAAAACTGAGAGCAAGACCAACCTAATTTAATCCCTACTTCATATCTATGCAGGTTGTACCAATCATCCCTCTTATACACAACTGTGTATTATAAATAATTTTCACAAAATGTCACAAATGTTTTATTGCACATTATATGCCAATATCTAAACAAAAAAAGGATCTATCCCTTCACTTGATTACAAAGCAGTTTAAATTCCTAGCAGTTATTTTTATCAGGAATACTATTCTATTTTTCAGTATTTAAAGCTAACTGGTAATTAAAGAAAAAAGCAGAACAAAAATATACTTCGAACTGTAGAGCTTTCATGACTTAAAGAAATATATGTCCCCTCCTTAATTTTACTGCTTCCAAGCATATAAAATAATTAAAAGTATCTAACCTAATTAAAAGCCTGTTTCAAAACCTTTACTAAAAATAAAAACCACACACAGATGCTGCATATACAGTCGTACATTCCTTCTGCTGTGCAGAACAGGATTTTCCTGAACCATGTTCCATTAAAGATCAAGTTACATATGTATTAGAGCTGTTTACTATTAAAGTTACTGTTTCATTCCCATAATTTTGCCAGACTCTCCAATGATAGTAAACAATTAACCCTTTAGAACACCAGCACAGATTGGTATAAAAATGCATCCATAATCATCAATATTTTTATGATGCAATCTATATATCTTCTGTGTAAGCAGGTTTATAGTATAATGAGATTAGCAATTTGTCATGGATATGAGATCTATGGTATGTTGCACTAAAATGAAATAACTAAACAAAGAGCGCATATCATATGTAAGAGTTGCCAGTTTGTAAAATGCTGCCACTGGACAAAGTCTGTATTTACTGCATGAACAAGAGATTTAACCATCAAGTGGTCAAATAATTTGCCAAGGGTTTCTAAAGCTATTAGCCACTGGCAGTGCCCCCCTCCCCCTCCAAAAAGGAAAAAACAAACAAACATTGCACTATTACAAAGAAACAAGTCCATGAAATGGAGCAGAACCAAACTGTAGTTAAGGTACAGCAACTTCAAGGAGACGGTTGTTTTTTCGTTTGCAGGTCGGGACATTGCCATTTCTCTGGTTTCCCTGTATGAATTTCACACATACTTTGTCTTGTCTGAATTGAACCAGGAACCTGAGATGGAACAGAACGGATTTTAATTAAGAATGGTAAAACCACATGTTCGATAACACAGGCCTTTTTTGCAAGACTATGTACTAGATACTATAATACCTTCCAACATTATATTCTGCAGTTCCATGTGAGAAGGGTAACACTCTACCCTTCTATAATTCAAAAACAGCCTGCTTGAAAAAGCCGTATTAATATCTGGAAATATCAAAGTGACAAATAATTTGCTATACTGTCCATACAGCAACTTATATGCTTAAGATACTGGACAGACTGATCCTTTGTCAGTAAGGCAGTAAATGTTATTCCCATTTACAAATGAGAAAAACGTATTGAATATGCAATAGAAATATAACTTGCCAATGCCCAGCACTCCCCTCCCCAGGGTTTTGGTTTTCTCCACCCTGCTTTTGAGAAAGAATACTTTATATTATCAACTGAGCAAGCATCTGTTTGCTTGATTATAGCCAATAAATATATTCTATCTGTACAGAGTTTCTGAATTTTGGAATGTTTCGATTCCAGATAGCTTAATGTCAAACTCAAAGGACAGTGGTGACTTCATTATCAAAGCTCCTCAACCAGCTAGAGGTGCACCAATTCACTGGTCCATACTGGATTAGTACCGATATAAAGAAAATTGGCTGTATTGCAAATTGGGGCAATTCGGCCAATAATCTGGCTGATAAATGCCCATGCACGTGCATAGTGGCAGCGTGGAGAGCTGTGTGCAGCTGGTAAGTCTGTTGGGGTGGAAGGGGTGGGGGGGCAGATCAATGCCCCTCGCAGTGAGGGGGGGAGTGAGGCTGGGGCAGGTGCAACCCAGCCAGGGCAGGGCAGGGTGGAACTGTGGCTCATCTGGGGGCCACAAGGGGCATGTACCCCCCAAGATCTGTGCAAGGCAGGGTGGGCTGCAGCTGGCTCTTCTTGGTGGGGGTTGTGCTTGGGGTGGGCGGCAGCAACACTGGGAGAGGGACTACAGCCCCCACAAATTTTGCCTCAGCTCCACCACCACCTGCCCTGAGCCCAGCCCACATCAAGAAAAGCCCAGAGCAGCCCTGGCTCCAGCCCAGTGGCAGCCTGCCCTGCCCTGTGGGCACAAGTTCTCCCCCCCACCGCCATGCCCTCCCAGGGTGTGTACAGTGGCAGAAGCCACTCCTCCTCCCCCGTGTCCCCTAGATGAGCTGTTGCTCTGTCTCGTGCCCCACCCTGCCCAGTTGGGCAACGTCTGCCCAGCCCTTGCCCCACTTCCTCCCTCACTGCGGGGGCATTGATCTGTCCCTCCATCCTCCTTCCCTCCCCCTATCCCTTCTACCACAACCGACTTACCAGCTGCACACAGTTGTATTGGAAATCGGATTGGTATCGGCCGATATGCCTCCTTAAAAATCAACTATTGGTATCAGCCTCCAAAATCTCTATCGGTCCACCCTTACAAACAACCTTCTGACAACCAGGGACTCTTCAGCCTGGAAAAGCACATGCTATGGGGTGATCTGGTGGCCACCTATAAGTTTATCAGGGGTACTCATCAGGATCTGGAGGAGCATCTGTTCACCAGAATGCCCCAAGGGATGACAAGATCAAACAGTCACAAACTCTGCCGTGACAGATTCAGACTGGACGTAAGGAAGAACTTCTTTACTGTCCGAGCCCCCAAGGTTTGGAACAGACTGCTGCCTCAGGCGGTTCAAGCACCCACTTTGAGCGCCTTCAAGACACATTTGGATGCTTATCTTGCTGGGATCCTATGATCCCTGCTGACTTTCTGCCCCCGGGGCAGGGGGCTGGACTCGATGATCCTCCGGGGTCCCTTCCAGCCCGAATGTCTATGCAATCTATGAAATCTATGAAATAGTAAAGTTCTATCATTCCTATTCTGTGGCCCAGAATAGGAAATATGAAATAGTAAAGTTCTATCATTCCCGTCTTTGGCCCAGACAGACTTAGTGATGTAGCCCAGAGTCACAAAGGAAATTAGTGAAAATCAGAGCTTGCATGAATACGGGTCTTCCAACACAGACTAGTTCTCTCACCACTGAATTGTCCTTCCCCCCAGGCTTAAGTGCTTAATCACCTCTACTTCTTCTACCCCCTACCAGAAGTGTATGTGTGTGTGAGGGGAGGGAGGGAAAGGTGGTGAGCAGGGCACCAGACTCAGATGCCAATCTAATGGGGGAACCAGACTGATGGCCAGATACAGAGCCTCTGTCCCCTGCCCTCTCAGTCATACACTTCACAATATCTCCTTCCACATTATCAGAAGAAATGCAGGTTTTGTCCCCCTCGTAGAGCAGAAACAAAGGCAGCAGAAAGGGAGGCAGCTAATGTCCATTTTTCTACACCATCTCAGTGGAAAAGCAGTGCATGCAGGGACTCTTCTTGCCATTTTCCCCTGCTTTGTATGAAGGACAAGAACTTCCTGTTATCTTTTGACTGGTGGTCTGTGAGCCAATCTGTGTGTTCAGCTGCAAAGGTCACTTTACTTCTGATTTATCACATCAAAATCAAGGATCATTTGTCATATTCATGTATTATCTTAGTCCCAAAATCAATAAAATTAATGTATGGGATGAAATGGCCTATGTTATATCCCCATATCTCTTCCTTTAATAAAGACTCCCCTAGAGCCAGTAATGCCTTTGACCAATAGCTTTGGCATTTTGCTTCAGACACTCCTTTACAATGAAGACCGTTCCTAAACTAAAAAAGCCAACGTACTGGAAGCGTAATAAAGACCATACCAGTGCTTCGCTGAGATCCTGAGGGACTTCTTGTTTATGTGGAATAAACTAGGTTGCTTCTACAGTTAGTCTTCCCATGCAGTTGGTTCAATAAAAAAAAATATTATCTCCCGAAAATCCTTCCTCCTACAATTTGTGGCACTGACAGCCAAGGTCCCATAACTATGAAAGCTTAGAACATTTTTGTTTGGATTCTTTCCATTCAATATTTCTGGAACATAGTAACTCTCATTTTTTATGTTCAATCCATTTTCACAACCTTCTATTTAGCGATCAGGAAATGTTATTTTCTCCTCATTTTTTAAGTTTCTGCGAGCCGCTTCCTATTGTCCACAATCAATAAATATGGTTTCCTTAACCCTCCAATTCTACTGGGAGTGTAAAGGATTCCTCTGAATTGCTGTAAAACATCAGCATACTCTTACTAAGCATTTCTGAATATTTTCCCTTTCAATTGAATATTACCAAATGAAATGGTGCCTAAAAGAAATGCCAAGAGCAGTAAACAAGATAGCAACAGACCACTCTTCGACTCTTACTGCTCACTGACCTCAAAAGTCTTCCATAATAAACTGATTTTCCTTTCAGCATCCTTAAGTCTTCCAGCAAAAGCCAAAACCTTTGAAAAATTTTCCCTTCAGCAGGAAACCACAAAAATCAAGCTGACTGAAGAGCTCAAGAGAGGAAGTGACTGTGCTTTGCAGAGCTTCTTTTCAATACATGTTTCCTGCTATACAATCCCAGACCCTACAAAGTCACTTGCTCAGAGCTCCCAGTCACAGAGCATTCAGAAAATACCATTAGCCCCTGCATTCACAGGCTGCCAGCAGGGCTGCACTTTCCTTGACATTCTGACTTCCTGGAACAATCCCTAGTGGTTGGTTTTTCATATCTGGTGAGAGTTTTGCTGACAACAGTAACAATATAATAGGAAAGGCAGCCCTATTAAATCTTGAACCAACTGACACAACTGATTGGTTCCGTTAGCCTTAGCCCTGCAGCATTATTCCAATTAAATATATGAATGTAAAAGTACTCCAATAGAAAGTTAGCACCCTCAACTAATCAAAACCTCATATAAGTGGTATGCTTGTCTACTTCTGCTCTCTTCTCAAAAAGCAGTAGAGTGAGGCCATGTTTTTCTTCAACTCCTAACTGTGCTTGTGTTTTTACAGTTTGCACTGCAAAAGGAACCGTGGAACAATTTCTCACCATCAATGGGGAGGGAATTGCTAAAAACTGTTAAATTATTCAGTGTGGGTAAATGCAAAGCATGACATATGCCTGAGGGGTTTTAATTTCCAAGAAGACAAAGACATCCACAATGAAGGCTGGAAGACTCCTAAAGGATTTAGGTTGTTAGCAGGAAAGGTGACTGACAACCTCAGACAGAAGATCAAATAAGTGTGTTGGACATTCCAAGCCACACACGGGAACTTGATTTTGATACCATTCACCTCTCCATCCAATATTGTAAAACAGACCTTTATTGGGAACAGTCTTAATTCTTTTAGATGTGAAGAAAATGTGAAGTAAGGGTGGAGTATACTAGCAGGGATTTTGCTACTATATTAAGAAAAAACAGGTAGATGCTATTGTTTTCAAATTTTTGCTCAAATTTACATTAATCTGAAATGCATTTTTAAAAAGTATTTCCATAGTAAGTGTCACAGAAATAAAGGACCCAACACTGGAATCCATGTTTACACACTGCTATTCAGTCACCAGTTGCACAATGCTTTCTTTTTCCAGTATTAGAGTCTTGACACACAAAACTACTACAATGCTGCTCTGAAGGAAATACAAAAAAAATAAACATACTCATCGGAAATCTCAATGTTGAGCTTCTGCTTGGTTTGAGTGAGAGTGGTACGGTAAAGCTTGGTGGCCATTTCAATAAGGTGATCACTGCTGAACAGGAAATCCCCTTTACCAGCTGCTCCTGAGCCCTGAAACAGAAAGAAACTTAGTTCTAATTGCCAAGAATACTCAGAAAAATCCTGCACTATTTATATAGTATGTTTCAAAAGTCATCGTTCATATGCCATCCTCCCATAATTAAAAAAAAGCAGTATTAAACACCAGCAAAACATACCACTAATCAAGGTTAAAAGGAATGCTTTCTACCACCAATAACCTGCAGCCTATTTTCTTCTAAATTAAAAAGAAATACAGCCCAAGTTTAGGCTTAAAATATTATCCAACCTTAATATCCAGTAAGAAAGTCCCCTGGGTTTCTAAACAGCATGGTAAGTTTCCCTTTGCTCCTAAATAAAAAGCCACTTACTTTTGTAGATCCCACAAAAATGTATTATTTTAGTCTCCCTCTGCTGCCTGTACCACAACAAATCGTGCTATTCTCAGAGAGGGAACGGATACCAACTGATGGTACCAGCACACAAGTGAATATTTTCGTATGGCAAGGCACTAGATAAATTGAATACGTTTAACAAAACAGCTGGGATAATGTCAGCTCCATTTATGAAACAAAACAAATGCTGGCTTAATGGATATAAAGAGGTAATACAAACAATAGAGAGAAAAAAAACGAAAATATCTTTAAATTGGCAACCAAATTAGTTATGTAATAATGTTGATTTCTTTGACCTTCCAGAAAGCTTGAATGGTAAAATAATTACCAGCAAATGCAGAAAGCTGGAATAAGTACATAATAAAAAGATAAAATAATAATACATGCTTTTTAAAAAGCATACAGTAGACGTTAATGGACATCTAAAGAAAAATACTGGTAGGCCATTTACCCTGATCTTTTCTAAACAGGAAAGAAACATTGGGGCTAATGTCATATTTCAGTGACACTCAAGAATCAGGGAAAGTTATAAAAGGAGTGGAAAAAACCAGAAATTTAAGTGTGAATAAAATACAAAATATGGTGCCATTTATCTCATGGAAAGAGTATAACATTGAGAAGACTCAAGCAAAATTTGACGTCTTATTTTCATAAATGAACAAATAACTCAAGAATTAGCAACTGCACTACTGGGTTTGGTAGGTTCAAATCCACTGTTTCACGACTATGACGCATTTTGTACATCTGTCTTAAACCTACATGGTCTTAAATCTAACACTGAAATTGACTGTGCTTCTGCTAAGTCACTTTATCATTTAATTCACAGTTAAATTCTACCTCTTTGAGGTGCACAGCAAAAAAACCATCATTTTGGGAACTCATGGACACTTTAGTAACATCTCCCAAGGGAACCTCTGATTTGATATTTCCAGACTTCTGATCAGCGAGTAGGACATTACTGTTTGTTAGCAAGAAAATCCTGGATGTAGCCTGCCAAAAAAAAAAAAAAAAGTTAGCTATATAAACACACCGATGAGACCTTCACACAGTATCTGATTAAAAGAGCAAAGGTTCATCAAGTTAAGAGCACCGGCCCAGATTTTTAAACCTGTTTTAAAATTTCAGTGGGTCCTGCAGTTCGATTAGCCCCACTGAAAACTAGGTCACTTATTTATGTGACTGGATTCAGAAACCTAAAAACATTAAAAACTCGGTTTCTTCATTCTAGCCCTACTATTATGTAAATCACAATCTAAGTTACATACATAGAGTTGTACAATCTAAAAATAAAAATTCAGCATACATACATACATACTTGAAACAAAAATCAGAATGACCCTGATTATATATTCCCCAATCACTGTTAATATCCACTGAATTCAATCTAAATTCTGGGTGCATAATACATAAAGGATTGAGCCTAGGATATATACATTTTTAAATATGAGAAGCTAAGATTAGTTTTAAAACTAGTTCTAAAATTTTAAGCATATGGTAACAAAAATAAACAGTTCTATTCAGTAACTGCCATTAATAATTCTTTTAATAACTGCTTTTTAAAATATATCTACCACATTTAATTTGTATTAGTTGTTAGAACTGTCATTTTAACTGGCTAGTTTTCTGCATTTAATTGAATTCCAATTTCTACCCAATAAGAGTTTCACTTACAATTAAAAACATTAATCATCTAGTAAATAAAGATGTCATTCACTATTTTCTTACAAAATAAAATAAGTGTTAAATTCCTGTTAACCTATTAACTTGCTTAAAATGTGCATGTAATTTATTCTCTTGGTTAGCAAAATGTAGTATCAAATGTAAGGTAAAGGCTAAATTTAACTGCAAATCAACATGGCTTAATGGTTACTAATCAGTGAGAATCAACCTCTCTTTAGTAAAATAGTTCCGAATGATAAATGCAAAAATCAAACTAAAATAAAGAGTATGTGTATCATGATTAAAACTGGTCATTTAAATCACTCCTCCTGAAAGTACCTTCAAATCAGTATTTTATTACCTTCAGAGTAAGTTGAAACAAAAATGCAACCACCCTATATGTTCACTTAAAACAAAAACCATTGTGTCAAAATGTCCTTCTAGGTGAAACAGTTCTATTTGATTACCTTCCCATTAGCTCTATTGATTTTATTCACAACTTCAGCAATGATGATCTTTTCATCCACAGCATCTTTGAGTTTTTTGTACTTTGGGTTTTTGCTGATTTCCAGGTAAGCCCCTTGGAATGGCTGTCCAACACTATTAAAGGATAAAAATATAGGAAACACTGAAATTTAAATCCTCTAACATTCATATCCTAGTGTAGGGTCTGCAATGTTGCTGCAATACATACAGCAGTCCCCAATACTATATGCACAGGTATCTAGTTTGATGCACTCCCTCCATGTAAGTTTGTAAAATGTATGGTGAACATCATGAAAATATATAAGAGTATAGAAAAATAGGGCTGGAGAAGACCTCAGGAGGTCATTAGTCCAACCCCAGCTCATGGCAGGATCTCCCCTACCTAAAACATCCAAGCTGACTCTCCAATTTGTCATAGGCTCCATTTTTTTTTTTTAAAGAGTTGGAGTTACAGGGAACCCTAGCCCTGTTACTAAGGGACAGGGTGGTCCCTCTGAGTCCAGAACCTTCCAGTCACGGCTGGCAGGTCAAGTAGGGGTTAAGGCTCAAGCCCTGCCAGCTAGTCAGGTGACAGGAAGAGGAAGGCCAGGACCCTACGAATGGCAAGTGGAGAGGGCCAGAGGGACAGCAGGAAGGTGGACCCCTAATGATCATGGTGCTGTGGTTGCAGTCTCTGTCGGAAGACTATGCCATGCCCTGAGCCATCCTCATGATCACCTAAAGTAAGCAGGCATGTTGCCTCTCTTGTTTCTGTATTATAATTTTTCCATTATATGGCCTTTAAAGCCTATGTTTTGTGTTGAATGTTAAGACTGGTGGTTTGGGTGAGGCTATTTGGGGAAAGAGGAGGCCTCATCGGGGCCCACTGAAGTGTGAGGACCCCAGCGCCAGAAAGGGTGCAATATTCAGGGGTGAGCTGACCCTAGTGTCAGAGCGGGCATAGTACTCGGGGGGTGAGCCGAGCCCAGCGCCAGAGAGGGCGCAATATTCAGGGGTGAGCCGAGCCCAGCGCCGGAGAGGAGCAGGAGCCCAAGTGAGGGTTTTTTTTTGAGAGCTAGAGCCTGGGAGTCAAACCCTGATTAGTGGGCGGGTTTTTTGACTGACAGGCCTAGCTAGAGAGGAAAGGGGTAGGCCCACAGTGGCCAAGGCCCCAACATAAAGAGGAATTCACAAATACCATCTGTGAGGCTTGGGCTGTGGTGTAGGGGAGGAACGGAGCCACAGCTAGTGCCCCCTGGCATCGGGGAATACAATGGGCAGCCTCCCGCTTAATTAACAACAATTAATTAACAAGGCAAGGCAGGAAAGAAGGTAGGCAGTTGGCCCATAACAGGTGAACAGGTGGGGGGCCAACAGTAAACGGACCCCAAGCAGTCCCCTCTGTTACAGCTGGGTACCTCACAACTGCTTTTTTATCTCTGTGCAAGATTTGGACTCTACTTAGTTCTGTTTATTTTAAATATTACAAAGAAGCCCATACGTGACGTTATGAGTGATAGCAGAAATTAGAGAGCAATGCATAAGACATGATGTTCAACTACTAAAGCAAGGACAGCACAACATTACCATGAAACAACTGGAATTCTCAAAGTACAACTTATGATGGTACAGGTGTTGCTGTTATTGCTTCTTCAGCAAAAGAAGCTGACCCTCAACATTTGGCTACTGGTGCCATATGATCACAGCAGAAAAACCAACTAAACTCTGCATTTGGAATTTACTGTAGCATCTGAGGGAGGCTGCAAAATGCTAAAGTGTATTATATACACATTCTTGTATTCACTGACAGCACCACAGTGTGGGACAGAATAACTTCAAAAGGTAAGTGGATGATGGGATGTTTTTCTCACTGGAGATATTGTTTGATGGTAAAACAAACCAAACTAAAATGAACAATCTAAAGAACAGGACTTTCTTCTACACTGATTAACTTCAGATTTTATCACTGAATCATTCTACTCTAGCCTAATTTAAGAACAGTTTATATTTATAAAAATATAGCAAATATATCTTTCCTACAATAGTCTAAATTTTCTCCCATGAATCATTTTTGCTTCATTCAGTGTTCTTCAAGACACTCAAGCTGCTTCTACTGAAACACAGTTCCATGTCTCAGGTCCACTCATGTCTTAAACTCCAATTCAACTTCTTTAAAGATACCTAAACCTTACTCTGTCATTTATACTGCACTAGAAAAATATGTTAGCTACTCAAATAACTACATAGACAGCTGCTGCAGCCACTTAAGCAATATTAACTGCACAGGCAGCATTATCACAGAACTTTTCAGAAATGTTGATATTTTCAGGTCTTTATCTATCTGAGACATTGCGAAGAGAATTTTAGGGTGTATAATTTTTAACCAATCTAAAATCTGTCTGAATAGAAAAAGGCTTTCGAATAGAAACAAATACCTACACAAATGTAGCTTTCAAGTTTCACTATTCAAAAGCATCTCTTACATGTCTAACTGTAAAATTACCTAGTCTTTGTATTAACATTGCCACACAGAACTGCTTACGAAAACACAGTCAGTTAAGCTTGAAAAGCAAACCTGTTAGCAGAAACTATTTTTGTTTGCTTCTTTTGTTTGTATTAGCACAGAGCTGAAAAAAAATCATTGCAACAGGTATTACACAACCGGAGCTTTAAAGCAACCAGTCCACCACTGGCTGTCGCTGGAGATGGGATGAAGTAGTAAACTCTCCCTGCTGCCCTCCCCATGTAGAATTTGAGTGACTGGGGTTTGTGTTGTGTGGCAAACTCCTTCTTCATTGCCTCTGTTGGGTTGTCATGGCCTGTGTATATCCTTTCCTCTTCCTCTGAGGTTACTTGTAAAAAAAACACTACCATCTAAGCCAAGAAGGAAGAGGTAGCCGGTTTCCTTTACTATTTACTGTATAGAGGACACACCTTTCTCCTATATTTGTACTCTTGGCCCCTGCACAGGACCCAGCTGTATTTGCAAACTCTCAGATCTTACAGTGACAAAATGTGCTGGTTTCTAGTAACGAGTAGCAAGGTGATTTTTGCCTAATGAAAATAACAATAAAATCATGGAAGAGTTGCTGCTCATCAAGCCAATGATACATACACTACACATTTTCAGAATGGTCATTAGAGTTTACAAAGGTCCACAAACACATGGCAATTTCTACCGGCTAGGATAAACTAAATTTTCTCCTTAATCTCCTAAATCTATGCGAGGATGCAGTATTTAATCTTATGCTATGAGCTGTGTTACCAAAATAATTCATTACCTGGCTGGGTATAAAGCCTTCTTGTCCTTGAAAAGTTCACTGGCTTCCAGTTTTTCTTCATATACCAGTTTCTGTTGATCTGTGAATTGGTCTCTGTACTTTTTACACTAGAAAACATGCCATATTAAATGAATCATAAATCACTCTTTGAAATATACTTTCAAGTAGCAGACACCACTGGTTACTATTCACTTATTGCTCAGGATGCATAGTATATTTCTGGAGTGAATCAACTCCATCCTTCATACCACTGTAACACAGCAACCACTAACAGAGGCACTTCAGCTCTCGCTTACACTAGATACTTTGGATTTCTATTGAAAATAGTTTCTAACACACTTAAAAGAAAATATTTAATTTACACATGGTTCAAAGTTCAGTTAGCTAAAATTCCTTCAGATCCCAATAGTGCCCAAATATAAAAAGCCTCTTTATACAGTATAACCTCATAAATTTGGATATCAAAAATCCAGAAGTAGCGAAAATCCAGCAATTTTTAAAACTACACTCCATTGGGAGTAGCAGCAGCCAGTCCTGGAGCAGTGGAAGGGGAAGCCTGCACACAGCAGCTGCCACCGCCATCCACCGCTCCGGTTTCAAAAATCAGAAATTTTCACACTTCCAGCAGGTGCTCGGTCCTGAGCATACCGGATTCATGAGGTTATACTGTACATCTTTTTGGGTATAGGCATACTCTCCCACTGTCATTTAACATAACTCAGGCAACTATCAGGCTTATCTTATGCCTTTTACCAGACACCACTATAATTTCATAAATGTTTCATTTTAGAATCACTTTGCTTAAGGTCTTTTACTTCCAACATTAATACAATTTTCAGAAATCAAATTTAAAATATAAGCAAATAAAATCAAATACATACGGAACATATGCATAAAACAGTGTGGGTGAAGAAAGTTTAAATTTTTTGTAATTTTTGGTAAATCTGAAAAGTACTTTAAAAAAAATTACATTCAGAGAATTCTGCCCACAACAATTTGCAGAAAAAACAACCGCAGTGAGGCCACAGCTGCTGAATGACCAGCAGTAAGTGTCTCTACAGCCCCAAAATAAGTTCTAACCTATTCCTCCATGAAAAGGTCCAAAACAAAATTTCTGCTAACCACCGTTCATATGCAAAATTTTCTGTTGATTATTTGTAGTGATGGATTAAGAGGCAGTGCCTATCCTGGCCATGAATATTAAGATTATAATAAACCTCAATCTAATTAATAGGCAGAATACACATTAATATGATTAAAGTAATAGCAGATGGAAGACAAAATACTTCATTTTCCTCTTCTAGCCTATGTAAGGCTACAATTTACCTTGAAGGCCAAGTGGAATGATTCAAAGGAAAATGTTTGTGTGAAGCAGAACCATTCTGGCAAAAAATAGAATTCTTTCCTAAAAATACACTGCCCATGAACAAACTTTCTAATCCACAACCAAATTTTATATAATCTGAACCAAAACATTACCTACCCTCCACAAGTGGAAGATCCTCTTTAGCTCATTGTGAGTTGAATCCAAGAAGAGGTAAGGCCTTGCTGGCCAGTTTTTGTCTACTGGTGACAGAGAAGGCATCTTATTCTTCATTTCCAAGAAGTATTTTTGTATCTGTGATAAATTTGAAAACAAGTCATTTAATTAATTCCTCCCATTAGAGTTACTAAAACAAGGAAGATGCTGATGTCTGGTGAAATGTATCAACATTTAACTGCAATTTCCAACTTTATTAAAACCTGCTCATGAATTTGGAAAGCTAAATGTACTTAAAAATGCCATTGAGGCAGGGGTTAGAGCTGCTTAATGGCATTTGCTGAGCATTCTCATAGCTTTAAAACTCGTTACCTCTCCTTCTTTACAGCACACAAATGTTTAAGCTTTCAAGCTGCCACTTACACAATTTGATAATGCCTTACAAAGACTGCTAAAATTTCATGTAGCTATACTTGTACTGTGGTAGAAAACAAGTTTTTAAAACATGTATAAGTATGAATACGTACAATTTTCTGAAGTATAAATTCAGAAATTTTTCTTCCAGCATTGGCTCTGAAGAATTTCCTGTATTCTCTCCGAACCTGAAAAAAATTAAACAAACCCTCAGAACAAACACACATCTAAAGTGTATCCAAGAATTCATTCTAAAAATGCACAGAAGCATTTGTAGAAAAATTCTAAGAAAGTATGAACTTTCAGGTACAGTCCCTGGATGTAACTGAAAAACACAGAACACTCAAGTTATGGGGAACACTCATGTACATAAAGACAAGTAACCTAAAATATAATTCTTTGCACCTTGAAAAATACATTTCCAAAAAAGGAAGCACTCTTGGAAGAGAAAAATTATACATAAAAAAAAAAGTATTCTTTAAAGAGAATTATCAGAAACACAAGTTAGTGGTGACTGCGACAAGCAGTGAATTTACATAACTGTTGCTTAGTCAGCCAACTTACAAAATAATAAAGTTTAGAAGAAAAATCCTTTATTAATCATTAAAAGCCACTTTTATAGGAGTCTTTTCATTTTTACTTTATGTATGTGATTTTACATGCTACTCTAAGTGTGCATCTACAAGTGCACTTTACTGCAGAGTTGTCTTTTTAGCTCTGCAGTGAAGTGTTACTGTCTACACGTGCACCTGTATTAGGGCATAGTAAATTAACTAACTCTGTTGGAGGATACTACTGTCTGGGACACGTACTATCCTAGGGTGGAGTCATTTAGTGGACTGAAACACACACAGATGGTGACTGGGGCACAAGGATGCTACAGTGTGGGGTCTGCCAGCTGGCTAGCCCTGTACTATAGCACCCTCTTGGTTTAACCAGCCTCTCTGCAGTACACTGATCTGGGGTGGAGCAGCCCCAAGCTTGTAGGGTGACCACCAGGGCCCTTTCCCATCCTGGGGCTGCTCTCCGCAGCATAACATGCTGCAGTCCTGGGTGCATGTGTAAACACGGCAGCCAGAAGAAATAAACTCTGGCACAAACTACACCGGAGTTTATTTCTGCATGCTAATTGCACATGTTGATGCACCCTAAGATACTTGATTTTTTTATTAGTGTTCATTAGCATGGTCACTAACTTCCTGTATCATAATCAATTCCAAACTGAAACAGCACATGCTTGGATTCAAGTTTTGCAGCAAGCCCAAAAATGCATACAAAGCTAGCTGAAATTTACCAACCTTTTTACAAACCTTACTCAGTTTGGAGCAAACTCACTGAGAGTTTGAGTGAGAACCATGAAAAGCATTGTGGCTCTGAAGTTATCTCCAGACCAAAACAGTTAATGGTTTAGCTAACTTGCTTTGTGTTCTTGGGTTCACATCTGAACCAAAAAACTGTGACATCCTGGGGATAAATCCCAAAAGCAAAGAGATTCCCAAAACCCAATGCAGCCAGACCTTTGTCCCATCCTGAGTTACATACATTCTACTGCAACCCACTATTTTGAAAACAAATCTTTCAACTTTCTGACAAAAAAGTACAACACAAGAAAAGCTAACTCTTTAATCACAAATTGATGGATTAACAGAATTAACATTATTTGTACAACTTTCCTCTTACTAAGCTTCTCCAATATTATTCATAATTTTTCTTGCTAGTTAAGTAAGAAAAATTCTGAGTTTTCATATGTTACTATATGCCATAGCTTTTATTTTGATTAACTTCAGAAATTCACTAAAGTGTATAAATTCGTTATGCTACTAAAGTTTAGCCCTCTGGTTAGCACAACCCCTATAACTGTATTTTTATGATGGATATCATCTTCCTAACAACAGATTAGTACCTGCAACCCCAACCCCCATCTAAAATATGAAAGGGAACTTCCTCAGACACACTACCCCCATATCTCACCAAGTCTTCCTTAGCTAGTACACTCCATGAGCAGTAATATTTCCAAGCTTAGTTTTTAATGTATTAGTTTATGCTCTCTCTATTAACTCTCTCTCTCCTCCAGCCCCTCACACCACCTGCCTCTCTCAGTAGAGTAGGAAAGACATATCAATAATATAATTCCTTTGTGGAAGTGCTAGAGTTTCAAGTCAGCCTATATCTGGGAAGTTTTATTCATGCTATTCAATCAAAACAAGAAAATAAGTCACAAATTTAGAAAACCTTGATCATGAAAGTTCCTTCCCCATACATCTCAGGTGAAAAGGTATCTAGTGCCCAACCAAGCAAACAACTCCCTACAGTTGTTTATAGTTATGATTGTATGTAGCTAGAATCTTGCCACAGAATTTAGTCTGTTTTCGTTTGCAGAACAACTGAGTTTTATGCGCATTATAAAAAGAGATTATACTATAAATAAATTGTTTAAAAGAATCATAGCATATTTAGACAAAGACGTATCTTTGCTGTATAACATGTTAAAGGTTTTGAATTCCTTAAAAAAGCATGTTTGATATGCAGCGGCCCTCTTGACTTTTCAGAAGGGCCACTTTCTTGGTTTCTTATCATAAAACTTGACCTACTTTGACATCAGTACCTTAAAAGTGGGAGTCCAATCTGAAGAGTGACTTCTGAAAAATGGCACCTTAAAAAACACCCAGATCTGCTTCCAAGGTGTATATTGAGTCTCAATATAATTTTTCTTAAAGAAGTTTTTACTACTTTTTATTACAGTTAATACAAACATTTGAACCTCTTTGGAAAAAATGAGCTAAAGTTCTTCTGGCTCATGTTATCATCAAATATAACACCCACTAAATCAGGGGTTGGCAACCCCTGGCACACATGCTGAGCATGGCACACAAGGCCATTTTGCTCAGCACGCCACGGCCAGCCCCAGTAGCTGCTGCCAGTGATGGAGCCTGTGCTGTGCCCAGCAGGGCTTGCAGCATCCCAGCTGCCTGCTGGGAGCAGCCCGGAATCCCAGCTGGCAGCAGCTACCCAGAGCCAGGGCGGCTGCAGCCGGGAGGCAGCACGGAGCAGATGCTGGAGCTATGGAGCCCGGCACAGCTGCTTGCAGCCTGACTGCTGTTTGCTGCCACTGCCCAGAGCCCAGGCTGGCTACAAATAACTGCGCCAGGCTCTGGGACCCTGCTATCACCTGTGCCGGGAGCGGGGGAGACCGGGGCTGCGCTGTCTCAGGCCCCTCCCCCACCGCCCGCTCCAATGTGCGGGTGCACGCGCTGGTATGGAGCTGATGCTGAAGCCCGGCACAGCTGTTTGGAGCCTCCTGGCTGCAGCCAGCCCCGGCTCTGGGTAGCTGCTGCCAGCTGGGAGCCTGGGCTGTTCTCAGCAGGCATCTGGGATGCCGCAAGCTCTGTTGAAAGCAGCCCGGGCTCCAGCAGCTACCCAGAGCTGGGGTAGCTGCTGACAGCCACAGAGCCTGGGCTGGGGGCCAGGGGCTTTGGGTAGGGGCAA